CCCCCCCCCCCACCACCACCCTGCTTTTCAGTTCGAGCGCGACATACCCCCCCCCTCCTGCTCTTCAGTTCTAGCGCGACAACCCCAACCCCCCCACCCTCTTCAAAAAATTTTATCCTGCACATGCCCGTTTGAAGGTCTCTGCAAAGGCCTGCACCCCACGTACGCATGGGTTTCCTCCGGGTGCTCCGGTTTCCCCCACAGTCCAAACACATGCGCTATAGGGGAATTGAATAAACTAAATTGGCCGTAGAGTATTAGTATGTGTGCATGTGAGAGTGTATGGGTGTTTCCCATTACTGGGTTGCTCCTGGAAGGGCATCCGCTGTGTAAAACATATGCTGGATTAATGGGCGGTTCATTCCGCTGTGACGACCCCTGATAAATAAAGGGACTAAAGGCCGGTTATCACCGGGACGTTTTTTGCTCAAATTTCTGTCGACGTTTAACGCCTCGTGGCTAAATAAAGGGTGGCAATGTGATCGTGCACACCATGTGCAAAATGGCAGGTGGAAAAGCGGCATTTTTAAAGAAACGCCTCGTGCTCATTTTTTGGTTTTATGCGCCGCGTCAAAACCTTCTCCACCAATCAGATTGGCACTTTTGTTCACATGCACAGAGCTGCTGAAGTTACAGTAAACAGCACTTGGAGCACACATTGAAGAAGATGCCCAGAGCTGGAGCTGCTACTTGAACCATCCATTCTTGTTTGAATCGGCAGTAACTTTAACAACAATCATGTCTTCTTTCTCTGTGTTACATGCGGGTGTCAGAATAAGATTTAAGTTGTGTGGTGCCGTCTAACGTCAAGGAGTGATTCTGTATACTCTTCTGCTCAACACCAGTGAAAATCGCTTGAGTTTGAAACCTGTAAAACGTCTTGAAAAATGTTGACGATAAACGCAAATAAAAAGTGTCCGGGTGTATACGAGCCTTAAGCCGAAGAAAAATTAAAGAATGTAAAAAAATGCTGGGTTACACGCAATAAATGTGTTGAGACAACATAAAGAAATTACATTAACTAAACAAAATTTAAGTGGATTGAACATAAAACAATTAAGCTGTCCAAAAAAAAAAAACAACTCAAGGATTGTGTTCTTTCAACTCATCTGAAATAAGTAGCTTGAACAAAAAGCAAACATACTTTTTAAGTGTGTGATTAGTTTTGTGTCAGGAATTTTTCCCCTCAGACCTTTTCCTAAAATCTTTTAGTTCTTCCTTAAAATAAATTAAAACATATTATTTAAATTAAACTCAATATTAAAACTTGAATAAATAAAACTGGCTTGAAACGTCAAGTTAAAGTTTGTATATTAAAAAACAAATAAAGTTGAAACCTTATTAACTTATTTAAAAAAGTTCATGTACCACGAAAAAAAAAACACATTGTCATGACCTTTTGAGGGGACGCTGATTTAAGTCCCGACTTGGTCAGTTGGCATTCCTCTGTGGAGTTTGCATGTTCTCTCTTTGTTGGCGTGGGTTTCCTCTGGGTGCTCTGGTTTCCCATGCAGTCCAAACACATGCGCTATAGGGGAATTGAACAAGCTAAATTGGGCGTAGTGTTTGAGTGTGTGTGAACGAGTGTGTATGGGTGTTTCCCAGCACTGGGTTGCAGCATGAAGGGCATCTGCTGTGTAAAACATAAGCTGGAAAAGTTGGCGGTTCATTCCACTGTGGCAACCTTTGATAAACAAGCAACTAAGCGGAAGAACAATGAGTGAACAGATTGTAATATTCTTTTAATAATTTGTCATTTGTACATTGATATTCTCTGTTTAGATTTCGAAAAACACATCACATTTTTGATTAAATCAAGTCTTATTTAATTGAACAAACAACCAAAGTGAGAGCTTTTTAAATCAGACTCGGATTGAATTAGGGTGTCTGAATCAATACCTAGCTCTAAGGACTTTGTAATAAATCATTTTTGTATGATGTATGATGGGGTTTATGCATGATTTTTGAGGTTTGAAAAGAGCATGCATACTTCCTGAATTGAACTTTTACATAATTGATGTTGTTGATATTGACGTTGTTGTTGAATGAAACTCAACCAGCACTGAAATAATTTAAGCCGAATGGAGACA